CCATATGCGAAAGGATGTCCAAAAGCATTGCTTTAGATGTTTGGCTTGTTTACAAGCCAAGTCCAAAGTGATGCCTCATGGTACATACACACCTTTACCTGTTGCTTCAGCCCCTTGGGTAGATATTAGCATGGACTTTGTGCTAGGTTTACCTAGAACCCAAAGGGGAATGAATTCTATCTTTGTGGTAGTGGACCGCTTTAGTAAAATGGCCCATTTCATTCCATGCCACAAAGTAGATGATGCAAGCAACATTGAAAAACTCTTCTTTAGAGATGTGGTTAAACTCCATGGACTTCCTAAGTCTATAGTTTCTGATAGAGATACCAAGTTCCTAAGCCATTTTTGGCGTGTCTTATGGTCAAGACTAGGAACTAAACTCCTCTTTTCAACTACTTGCCATCCTCAAACAGATGGAAAAGCTGAAGTAGTTAATAGATCTCTGTCTACTATGCTTAGGGCAGTTCTAAAGGGCAATCACAAATCTTGGGATGAGTATTTGCCACATATTGAATTTGCCTACAATAGGATAGTCCACAAAACTACCAATATTTCTCCTTTTGAAGTTGTGTATGGGTTTAATCCTTTAACACCTTTGGATTTGATACCCCTTCCTAATGTTGAATATTTCATTCATAAGGAAGGTACTTCAAGAGCTGAGTTTGTTAAAAAAGATCCATGAAAGGATTAAAACACATATACAACTCCAAAATGAGAAATATGCTCAACAAAATAACAAAGGCAAAAGAGCTATGACCTTCGAGGAAGGTGATTGGGTTTGGCTTCATCTTAGAAAAGAACGTTTTCCCAAACAAAGGAAGTCCAAACTTAGTCCTAGAGGAGATGGACCCTTTCAAGTCTTACAGCGTATCAATGATAACGCTTATAGGCTTGATTTACCCTCTGATTATGGAGTTAGCCCTACTTTTAATGTTAGTGATTTAAAACCTTTTGTAGGTGCTAGTGATGATGAAGAAGAGTCTTTAGATTCGAGGACGAATCATTTTCAAGAGGGAGAGAATGATGGAAGAGCATGGACCAAGGGTCCAACCACTAGAGCAATGGCCAGAAGATTACTTGAAGACTTGACTGCTTCAGAGCTTAGTGGGCCCAATGGGCTTGGTGGGCCTAGGGTGCTCCTCACTTGGGCTTTACTTCTTTGACACCACTTTTATTGCATATTCATAGAATAGGAATTTATTTTGTTTTGGTCTTGTATTTTGGACTATAGATTAGGAATTGTAAGCTTTGGGCTTTAGGGTCTAGAATTGGGCTTCATGGGCCTTTGGGCTTTTGACACCCAATATTAGACTCATTTTCATTCTTGTAATTTTTCCTATTCATTGTATTTAATGGACCATTGTATTTAGGTCATTAGTATAGGAATTAGGGAGGAATTCTTGTTCAAGATGATTAGGCAAAACTAGGTTTAATTTAGTTTGCATTTAAGTTGCATTTTGAGTCACAAGGTTGGCGCCATCTTGGCTGAACATGTGTAACTCAAATTCAACCCTAAATGCAAAGTAAATCAAACCTAAATGACACTTAGCCCTTGGAATCCGGTGATGCACATGTGGGTTAAGATTTGAATTCAAAATTCAAATTTGAATTCAAATCTTGGCGCCACATGTGAAGCCTCCACATTGGGGCCAAGTGTCTCCTAAATCCGGAATTATAAAAGCTTCCCTCCTAGCATCTTGTATTCACTTTTGATATATGAAATTTCTGAACATTTATTCAACCAAATTTCTTCAAGAGTCACCGAGAGAAAGAGTGCCTTCAAACCCTAGGAACCTTGCTTAGTTTCCTACCTTTGAAGTGAGCAATCCTTTGATGCTTAAGCTTGGATGCTTCCATCCATAGTTTAGGTCCTTTTGATCCGAGAATCTCCTTCATTCAAGTCTTCTTCATTCGGTCTTCATTCTCCAAAGAAGAGGTCCTAAGCAAAGGTGAAGTCAAGGAGGAGTTCTTCAATCATTCCTTCTAGCTTCTCCATCAACCATACTTTCAATATTTTTATTCTCTACCACCATATTGTGTAAAGAACACAAATATTTGGAGGGAGACATTGTCATTGATAGACTTTCATATAATTAAGTATCACTATGTTGACCGTGTGATGTGCTAGTTTGACATGGTACAACACATTCCTCGTCCTCTACATCAACCAGATAATAATTTGCACGATCTAACTTTACGTGGAAAAAGATGATATTGGTTTGGCAAGTTCAACACATTGTCTTTGTACACGAGTAGGAAACAAGGTTAGACCGTGTTTGGACACCATACCACATCTCTTAATCTAGATGAAACCAATCGATGTAATTATAATATGGAGTATTGCTCCAAAATTGAGGTTGTGATGGACCTACATGATTAGAAGAGGCACAATATCAATAATAAATATTACTAAATTAAAATGGTGGTAGAAAAAAATTTGTAATTACCTGATTCGTTCATTCTGGAAGGCTCAACTTTAAATGGTGATTGCACGTTTATCATACGATTATCGTTACTATCATTGTTACCTTCGTCAAATGAGCTATCATTTGCAATTTCATCATCTTGTTCAATATTGATATCATCATCGTCACTTAAGTTTGTTGTAAAATCAACATTTGAATCATGATGATTTGTTGGTGGAAAAATTCTTTGCTTAAACTGATGGTCACTACTCATTACATTTGACTGTGTCAAAACTAGAGGTTGATATGCTTCTTCTGTTGTAGTTAATTCTTGTAAAGAAAAAGAAGATGTGCCAACAATATCAACATCAATATATAATTCTACCATAATCATATGACCTAGCCGTTAAAAACTATCAAGCATGCACACACATCTCCATCGTCTACAATTTCTCCAGCTAAATAAAAAATGGGATTCAGACAATGCAAATATCTGCAAAGGAAGTTCACGGGAGCCATGTAGATGAGACTAAAGATTTACAGGAATGCAACATGAGAATCATGAGGAACTTAAGGACCTTCACGAGGCAAGATTCTTGCAAAATTTCAACCAGGAAGGCATTTTCTACCACATGCAAAGCGTCTACCCTGATGACAATTTCAAACCAAATACATGCAACAAAAGCCTGACCAAGATTCTTACCTTGAACCCTAAAGATTCTCACACTCTCCTGACTACTATCACAAGCATCATAGTCTCATGCTCCATCACCAACATATTCTAAATAAGATTCTCATGCCATGCATCACAAGATTCTCATGCCAAGATTGCCATATTGCAAAATGTTACTCATGGTGACGTTTTAGCAACAAAAACCATGCATAGAAAACGTCTGGAGTGGTGACGTTTTTAGTTCAAAAACCATGCATAGAAGATGTCCAACATAGTGACATCTTTAATCTCAAAAAGCTTGCACAGAAAACATCCACCGTGATGACGTTTTCTATTAACCAAAAATGCCATGCAGAAGATGTCAACATTTATGACGTTTTTACCTTGATTTTCTTCATGAAAAAGACATTATATATGGTGACTTTTTTTTTCATCTTCTCTGTCCTACGTGACAAAAGTAATTTATTTTGATAATTATTTTTTTTAGTTAATTTATTTTAATATTTTTTTTTATTTATTATGGCCAAAAAAATCCTTTTTCTGGTTGATAAAGTGTTTATCATGTACTTGATTTCGGTACATGGGTAAGGGTCATTTTTCTAGAGGCATATTATTTGTAAATTGATGCAATAATACTTTTGCATTCTTAATAATTATTAATGATTGCTTGGCGTGGTCATTGACTTGTTGTAGTCTAGTAACTTTTGCTTTGGGGTCACACTTTGTGGCCTAATTTATAAAATCCATCTTTACCTTGAAAAAGAAAAGAAAAAGTAAATCATTTATAGAATATATATATATATATATATATATATATATATATATATATA